TTGATAATTTACATATTTTTCAGTCACTTAGATTTTGTAATTTTGGCATTTGACATTTAAAAATGTCATATATCATATTGTGACCGCAGGGTCGGCACCTCTTTAGCGCCCTGTCAGGATGACACCACTGTGTCCTGTGAACAGACACAGAAAAAGAATATTGGCCATTAATTTTCTTTACACGAACGGTCGTGTGTGCGGACTTTTGGTTCCGGGATGGAGGCGGAAGGAGAGAATCAGAGGATTTACACTCTATATATTGTCTTTATATATATAATACCCGTTTATTGTTCTATTTAAACTATATACAAATCATGTTCGATTTCAGTTAACATAGCTACTTCTTTCCAGATAACCTGTATTAATGAGAGAGAGAGAGTTTACATTACTTCGTGCGAGGATAAATACCTTGATATTAGTTACGAGAGTCGGAAATGTAGTCCTTGAGTCTCAAGAGGTCCTAACGATGAAGTTTCTTACACAGTTCCTTCAAACGATGAAGGTTCTTATCTCACACAGTTCTTTCAAACGATGAGGTTTCTTAGATGCTGGTCTTCCTGCACGGCAGTGACTAGAGAAGTCACCAGCAGCGGCTAATCCACACATGTAATCCTATAGTTCGCCCAACTCTGGAGACCGTCCCCGACGCATTGACCCCTCCCTTCCACAAAGGGGGTATCGTTGGGTTTTTTCCACTGCCCCATTAGGACTGTTTTTTTCACCACTGATCAATAGTTGTTTTCTTTCTTCCCTTTGTAGACTCCAGGTGACACATTCAATGTATCATCCTCAACCAGGAAATAAGTCCGTGGGAAAATAATTTAATGATCTTTTTAAATGTCGGTTTGAATAAACTTTTCCTTTCTCAACAAAAAATATTTAAAAAATTTATTCCACTAAGTTCGACTCTCACAATAAAAATAATTAATCTATTGGAAATGGAAAAGTAATGTGAAGCTAAAATGTTATTACTGAGGAGGAGCTAAGATTTATTTCTTCAAAATATAATAAACTTTTCAGATTAGTCATTTTCTCTCCCCTTTTCTTCAGTCTACTATATTGAAAGAGTTATGATTTTAATGATATAATTAAAGTAACCAGGAATTCCAAATTTATGTAATTTTTTAGATTTTTTAAAAATAACATTAAATATCTCTAGTTCTGATAACAGAGGATCAAGTTTTAGGATAAAACTAGGTAGCACAATAGTTCAATTAATGTTAACTCATTTAAGTTTGATTATCTTTTGTGCAAAACAGTGCTAAAACAATTTCTATAGTCATGTTGCAATAGAAAAGAGAATTGCAATTAATTAAAAAAATATAACAACTAGTGCCATCTAGTTTCAAAAATGCACAATGTTTGCATATCCAACTTCTCAATGAGCAACTCGTGCAAATCTCACACTAGCTACCTGTTTGTAGAAAGAGTGTCACCATTTTGTATTTTATTTTACTTGGTTCTCGGTCCCCTGAGTACCTACAAGTCTGTCTCTTTTTTTTTTTTTTATGTGCACATGATTTGGGCACCAAATACTCTATTCAAATTGCAACTCTTGACAGTACTCCTTCATACCTCTAAGGAGTCCAGCCGTTGACAGCAGCATGGTTTTATAAACAAGACATAGTCTTGTCAATAATTATAAAAACTAAGTTAATACTAAATAAATTAAACCTAAAAATTAATTAAAACTAAAAATAATAATTAAAATTTAGGCCTTTACATCAAAACCAAAATAAAAAATAAAATAAAATGAAAATTAAAACATTTTTTAAAGTTGTTTTGAAATTTTCAATTGTAAATCAATTTTTAAATTTATGTTATTTGTGTGTGGTGATGACTGAACATTTTGCTTTTAATATGTGAACAGATTATTAATTTTTATGGCAGAAATACAAAATTTTCATTGATTATTCAATGGTTGAGTTTGACTATAGCCACAGTAGTTATGAGTTAGGTTCTGATGAATTTGAGTCAGACTATATGTGAGTCTATTTATTATTTGTGATATTATTTATCATCATCAGACTATTCATTAGAGATATTTCAAAACCTTCCTGAAGATGCAAATTAGAAACTAGGTTATTCAAAATAGCAAGCTAAATAAGACCCATCCACTTATAATTTTTTATTTTGATATCAAATTTTGCTTTGATTATGGAAAAAATTTAATATTTTCTTAATTAGCATAAAATTAATGTTATGTTGACATCTAATTTTATGCTAATTGAGGAAACTAGATTTAGCTTTTCCTTAGATTAAATTATGTGACTGTACAAATTTGTCTATATATTAATATAAAAAATTTAAATTTTCATAATAGTTATTAAAATCTTTTAATCATAATTTTTTTGTTTTTTTTTTACAGTTCAGAAGATTTGGCTACTGCAATCTTAAAAACTAAAGAAAAACCAAATCGTTTAATTGTAGAAGAAGCATTAAATGATGACAATTCAGTTGTGGCTCTGTCACAGGTAAGATGAATTGTTACAATTTGTTATAACAATGGTTAAAATACAAGTCTTTTGGTATTTTCAGAATTTGATAAATACAAGGCAGATTCAATAAATAAGATTAGTAGTGCTATTAAAGAAAAATCATGTGGCATACAAGGTTGAGGCTAATAATTACTAATATAAAAACTATTGTCTATGTATGAATTCCCTATAACTCCTGCAATTTTTGTCCAATCCAGATGAAATTTTGGTTATATTCATTTTATGTTCTGACGAAAAGTATATAGACTACTTACTTTATGGAAGTATTACTATAGAATAAACGTTTTATAGATTTTGGATTGGTAATTGCACTTACATTGCAGTAATGTCAGTGACCACATGACATTTATGCTTGATGAGGAAATTTCCCTTAATTTGCATTTTTAAATATTTTGGCAAATGGCATATTTTAAACTTACTTCATAAATTTAAACTTTAAAAGAAAATAGCTGCATTGTGTCACTTCTATAACAAATTTTTTTAAAAAATATTTTATAATGACCATGCGACATTCTATTATTTGTTCGGAAGTAACAATCTAACACACCCATTATTTAGAAAGTGTTATTGCTCATCTAATTAACATACATACAATTTATCTTTGTTTTATCAATGTGGATTTAAAAAGACTCTATTTGTCAAAAAAAAAAATGCCTAGGGAAAAGCGTAAGAGTAAAATTGGTCTGGTAAATTCTAGATCTAAATGAATAAGAACAACTGAGACCCCTGAAGGCCATGAAGTTCGACTTCAGCAACATCAAATAAGAATGGCTTTGTCAAAGGCTGCAGAAACAGCATCACAATGCCAAGCTAGAATATAAACTACTTAATTTGTAGAAATAGCAACTCTTCTTGAATTTCTTGAAATCTCCACTCTTCTCAGTTTTTCAATCTTTTACTTTCTGATAAAAAGTATTCAATCATGCTTGATGGGGAAATTTCTAGTTTTGAAAGAGTTATTATTATAATATACTCTACATTAATAGTGGTCCCTACTAGATGACATTTGCATTCCCTGTGTGGTTTACAAAATGGTATTTCCCATATCAAACTGCACCAAAATTAAACAGTAAATTGTTATTTGATTTTTGACAGCCAAAGGCATTAGATCTAGTGAGATCCTTGCAGGATGTATTCACTATACGGAGTTGTGCATACTATGCAGAAAGCTTGCAAGTGGGTTCAAAGTTCAAGAAAGGCCAACAAACAGACGATGAGTCAAGTACTGTAGACTTTTGAACTCAAGCTTTTTGTAGCAACATGCACAATTCTTATTGTGATACATACTGTGATGGATCTCACTAACTTGTAAGTGCAATTCCTTCAGTGTCAAAAATCATTATCAAACTGCCTCAGAATCTATGGGCAATATTATTTTGTATATTCCATGGTGGATGCAAATAACATCTGGCAAGGATGTACAGAGCTATATTACTGTATACTCCTTCAATATTATTAGTCTCAACTTTATATGCTGTTATTTTTCTTTAACAGCACTTCTAACATAATTTACTCAGTCTGCTTTGTACAAAAAAATTTTGGGAAGATTTTTGTCAATTATCATCAAAATTTTGAAGACAATAAAAATATTTTCATAATAATGAATCATTTTACTTATTAATTCATTAATATTTATATTAGAATTGTTTAGCATATATTGACATTTCTATAGAATATAAATATAAATATTTATGTACAAATTATATATATATATAAAATTTACTTAATGTATTCTTCAAATTAATCTGATTAGAATGCTAGTTTTTGAATGAATAGCTTTCATTATCTGTAGTAAATAATTTTTGGTTTTGTGCAGTTTCTTTATCCTAGTTATGCAAAATCACAAATATGAATTGATTAGTAAAATGTTTATTTTAAAATATATTAAACAACATAGTCATTTTTAAAAATTATAAAACCAAAGTGAATTTTTAACATTGATATTGATACCTCCTTTTAACTCTCAATGTAATGTAGATCTTGTGGATTGGTGTTTTGTTTTTTTTTCTTTCGTGTTTTAGAGAATCAGCAACTAATAGCTCAATACAAGAATTCAAAAATATTTTTATGAATTTTTCATATCAGATATTTCACATTCTACAGAATTTAAAAAAAAACTTTGATAATTTTAAAAAAGTTCAGACATGATTGAATTGTAAGTGTTGTGTGTATTTAAAGTTTGAACTTTTATTATTATTATATATTTAATCTTGTATTTTATTTTTAATAACTCAGATGAAGATGGATGAACTTCAACTTTTCCGGGGTGACTCTGTAATGTTGAAAGGAAAAAAGAGAAGAGAAACTGTATGCATTGTGTTGTCTGATGAGACGTGCCCTAATGAAAAAATACGCATGAATCGTTGTATAAGAAATAATTTGAGGGTTAGATTAGGTGATATTGTAAGGTAAAACAAAATTATTCAAAGTAATAATTTTTAAAATGTTTAAATTTTCATTTATGATTAGTTAATAATTTTTAAAATGTTTAAATTTTCATTTATGATTAGTTATGATTAGCTCATTGATTTGTTTTTCTTTTAGTATTCATGCATGTCCGGATGTAAAGTATGGAAAAAGAATTCATGTGCTTCCTATAGATGATACTGTTGAAGGCTTAACAGGGTAAGTATTTAAAATTTTATCAAATTTTCACAGTTAAATAGCAGTAATTTTATATTAATATTCTTTTTTAGGAGTTTATTTGATGTGTTTTTGAAACCATACTTTTTGGAAGCCTACCGTCCAATTCATAGAGGAGATTTATTTGTGGTTAGAGGTGGAATGCGGGCAGTTGAATTTAAAGTTGTGGAGACAGATCCTAGTCCTTACTGCATTGTTGCTCCTGATACTGTTATTCATTGTGAAGGGGAACCTATCAAACGAGAGGTATAATAAATTACTAAATACTTATTATTTTATGTAATTTTTTAGGAATATAAGTTTAAAAAAAATACTACTAAAAACTTTATCAAATCTGTTAGTTTCTTACTACCTTTGAATTATTATGATATACTTACAAACTTTTAAATCCTTTTATTTGTGGATAAGTTAGTGAAACAAAGATTTGTTTTTAAAAGCTAATAAAGCTGTTTGGGAAAATTTAGAAATCTTTTATTCCTAATATAATTTACTTATTAATTCAATTTAGTATCACCTTGACAAACTGTTTATATGAATTATTTGATAAGAAAATTTCTTATATAAGGAATTGTGTATTGCATATAGTAATTCTCTGCAATTATACAAAATCTTTCAGATATGTTTTAGGAAACATTACATATTTTTTAGCATTAATACAGAATAATAAGTATGTTGAATTGAATGTAATTTGAAGTCAATAGTTCTCAAATTCTTAATTTTCTCTCTACAAATTATGAAAACTATTTTCATTTGTAGGAAGAAGAGGAATCATTAAATGCTGTTGGTTATGATGATATAGGTGGTTGTCGGAAACAATTAGCACAAATAAAAGAAATGGTTGAGCTTCCTTTACGGCATCCAAGTTTGTTTAAAGCAATTGGAGTAAAAGTAAGAATATACAATCTTGAGAAGAAAAGCAATATGCTTTTAAAGCATGTTTTTTTTAAAATTAAGTATAAGCATAATGCTAACATAATACTAAATATATTTACTTTATTTTAATTTTTGTTAAAAAATTCATGAAAATATTTTATTATAATACATTTAAAAAATAATTGTTTTATAGCCACCTCGTGGTATATTATTGTATGGACCTCCAGGAACTGGAAAAACGCTGATTGCTAGAGCAGTTGCTAATGAAACGGGAGCATTTTTCTTTTTAATAAATGGTATATTTCTTTAATCAATCTCCTAATCACAAGTTAATCTTACAATAAATCATGCAATTTCTATGAAAACCCTTGCTTCATATTGACTATTGTCACTCCTACTATATAACTTTGTTTTTATATTACATATTTATTGTCTTAATAGGTCCTGAAATAATGAGTAAATTGGCTGGAGAATCAGAAAGTAACTTAAGAAAAGCTTTTGAAGAAGCAGAAAAAAATTCACCTTCAATAATCTTTATTGATGAATTAGATGCAATTGCCCCTAAAAGAGAAAAGGTATTTATTCATATGAAAGAATATAGATAAATTTTATAATGCTGATTTCTAAGATTTAGGAATGTCTACAGCAACTTTGTTATCCTGTATCTGTTAAATTTTATACACTATTCATATGCAATTTTTTTTCTATGCAAGTTAACTTGCAAATAATGTTAACGATGCAATAAGTAATTTTCAGTTTTTTTAAGTACTTTGCCAGGCTTTGAAAATCAAATCTAAATATATAAAATTACTTGTCCTGAGTGAGTGATTGACTGATTCATCATTGCCCAGAGCAAACTGCTGAACCTAGAGGTGAAATTTTGTACACAGTTAGGGTGTCATGAAAATGCACACTAAGAAGGGATTTTTGGAAATTCCCACGGAGAGAGGGAGATGATTAAGGCTTAACCTGAAGAACGGCTTCTACTGTACTATTTTAGATGTGATTTTTTTTGTTTTCAACTACGTTTAGTCTTCATTGATACTTAGGTGTATTAAATTGATAACATTTTTCAGCCAGTCTGAACTTATTTTAGTTAAAGTAGGTTTAGGTTTACTTCATTTGTTTAAAAATAGTAGTTGTAGCTGTAAAGCTTTGGCTTACACAATTTTTTAAAATAAATAATGACTCAAAAAAAGGTATACCATTCCTGCCTTACATGAATAAAAACACCAAATTTATTGATGCATTTGTATTTGAATATAGCTATGATATAATGATATTTTCAATACTGTATATAGTATTATATTTAACATTTTATAAATAATTTAAGTAATTTTAGAATAAAAATTAAGTAAAATTGTTTGTTTTTGTTTAAAGAAAATTAGAATTTAAATGCTGTTTTAAATCAACTAATTATTAAATAAAGTTAAATATCTAGAACTGAACTTTTTTATAATTTCAGACACATGGTGAAGTTGAGCGACGTATTGTGTCTCAGTTATTAACATTAATGGATGGACTTAAGCAGAGATCCCATGTCATTGTAATGGCTGCAACTAACAGACCAAACAGTATTGATCCAGCATTACGAAGATTTGGTTAGTTAATTTTAAACTTTATTTTTATTAATAATAATATATGTATTTTAATCCATCTCTATATAAAATATTTAGGAAGATTTGATCGTGAAGTGGACATAGGTATTCCAGACGTAACAGGAAGACTTGAAATTCTTCGTATACACACTAAAAATATGAAATTGGCTGTTGATGTAGATCTCGAAAAAGTAAAATAATTTTTTAGTTTTAGTATTTTTCATAGAGGAATAATAAATTTATTATTTAAGTATTTACTTCTAATATTAGATCATCACAAATGTCTAAATATTTAAACATATCTATAATTAATTTTTATATTAAAGTTTACATATATTTCTACAGATTGCAGCTGAAACACATGGATTTGTTGGTTCTGATCTAGCTGCTCTTTGTTCTGAAGCTGCTTTACAACAGATTAGAGAAAAAATGGACTTGATTGATTTGGAAGATGATCAAATTGAAACAGAAGTTCTTAGTTCTTTGGCTGTAACAATGGATAATTTCAGGGTGAGTTTTCAGTAGTTTAATGATTTCAGAAATGTCTTCTAATTTGATTTATAAATTGAATGAAAATGATTGTTCATTGCTTATTAATAACACAATTTATTTTAGTGGGCACTTGGAAAGAGTAGTCCAAGTGCTTTAAGAGAAACTGTAGTGGAAGTGCCTAATGTCACTTGGGATGATATTGGTGGATTGGAAAATGTAAAGAAGGAATTACAAGAAATGATACAGGTAAAAATATATATTAAAAATAATAATATAATGTTATTGTTTTTAAAATATATTTTAAATTTTATTTTAGTATCCAGTTGAATATCCTGACAAATTCTTAAAATTTGGAATGACACCTTCTCGGGGAGTATTGTTTTATGGTCCTCCAGGATGTGGTAAAACACTTCTGGCAAAAGCCATAGCTAATGAATGTCAGGCAAATTTTATTTCTATTAAAGGACCAGAGTTACTTACTATGTGGTTTGGTGAATCTGAAGCAAATGTTAGAGATGTTTTTGATAAGGTATGTACATAGAATTTGTATAAATATTTTTACATGAATGATTTATTTTAAAAGTAAACCATTATATGTTGCATATTCAATTTACAGGCAAGAGCTGCTGCTCCTTGTGTGTTATTCTTTGATGAGTTAGATTCTATTGCTAAAGCTAGAGGTGGAAATGTTGGTGATGCAGGTACAATACTTTTTAAATTTATAATTGAGCTTTAAGGTTTTAATACAAAACAAATTTTGAATAATTCTTAACTGAAAGTAAAAATTGTCATTCATCCGCTGAAAATTAAAAGCTGCTGTTAGAAGTATCACTGATAGTGAAAAAATTATTGATAAAGTTCAGATATTTCAAAACTCGAATGCAATATAACTAGATTTAAATCTTATTTGTGATTATATTTTTTTTATTAATAAAAATACATTTAATTTGATTTGATTTCATTTCATTTATTCATATTTTTCAACTTAAGATGGTTCTTACTTCATCTAACCATTTTTTGATAATATCAGCTTTATTCACTTGTAACTTGGATAAAGTTAGCATTAGCTAGTTAATACTAGCTTTATCAGTAGCTTTAGTTGTAACAATCCTTGATTACAAATAATTTTCTCTTTGTAAAATATAGAACTAGTGAAAAAAGTTAGCAAAAGTATACTATTCCTTTTTTGTTACTGAGAGAAATATGTTTATTAAAGCAATTGGTAATTTATTTCCAATCAATAATTAATTAACAATTGCAATTAAAAGTACTGTATGACATGTTAACATTAATTTTAGTTAAACTAGGGCATTTTCTTTTTACAAAGTATTGTTGTCATCTCAGCTATTTTGTTGATCTTGATCAGAAGTATCAGCAACATTTTCATGTGTTTTATTTTTACCATAAATTTTTATTGATGACAAAATAAAAATATTAATTGAAAATTTATTCTACAGAGTTGTGTTTGTTCAGTTGAGTACTGAGTGACTTTATCTTAGAATGTGTGTTAGAAAACAGAGCTACCGCTGTATTTTGTTTGTCATTTTATGAATGAATGCTTACCNTCAGTAGCTTTAGTTGTAACAATCCTTGATTACAAATAATTTTCTCTTTGTAAAATATAGAACTAGTGAAAAAAGTTAGCAAAAGTATACTATTCCTTTTTTGTTACTGAGAGAAATATGTTTATTAAAGCAATTGGTAATTTATTTCCAATCAATAATTAATTAACAATTGCAATTAAAAGTACTGTATGACATGTTAACATTAATTTTAGTTAAACTAGGGCATTTTCTTTTTACAAAGTATTGTTGTCATCTCAGCTATTTTGTTGATCTTGATCAGAAGTATCAGCAACATTTTCATGTGTTTTATTTTTACCATAAATTTTTATTGATGACAAAATAAAAATATTAATTGAAAATTTATTCTACAGAGTTGTGTTTGTTCAGTTGAGTACTGAGTGACTTTATCTTAGAATGTGTGTTAGAAAACAGAGCTACCGCTGTATTTTGTTTGTCATTTTATGAATGAATGCTTACCCGCAGTTTAAAAAAGTTTAATAATGCTTACCTAAAAATGCTTAAATAAACTTTACTAAATACAAAGATTAATCTATAAAAAGAAAACAGTGACAGTCTTAAGGGCTAAAGTCTGAAAGCAATGACAATGACACCTGGTTTATAGGAAAGATAGGACAAGGAAGGAAAAAATTGCACTATCAATTTTCATTAAAGTAAATCTGACAAAAAGCACAAAATAATTTGAACATTTCAATATTCTAAAATTCATGGACAAATTTGAAACGTGTGTACTTTACTTGGATTTAAAAAAATATATTGAATAACAAAGTTTACACTTAAAAATTGTGAAATTTTGTATTGAGGATTTCCAAAATTGCATTAGAGTGAAACTAGAAGTCATGTTGTGTGAGGGATACCTGTTCTTAATTTAAATGTTTTTGCTAAGCTTTACTTTTTCAACCTGATAGAACCAGGTTTTTGTGATTAAAAGGATTTTGCAGTCATCAATAATTTCATAACAATAGCTTTCATGATAATTTTATATTCATCTGAGTCATGTGATAGTTGATTGATCAATATATAAAAATTTTTAAAAGGGGGTTATTTTATAAATACTCAGAATTTTAAAAATGCCTTCAAAAGGGCAAATAGGAAGTAATCAGCTCTCAAATGAGCTATTAAACATACACAAACTCCTTTTAGATTGTATTCTGTAATTTGGTGACACTATTCTCTCTCACTGTAAATGTAGGTGACAAAATGCTGATTGCATAAGTCCAAACTGATCCAACAAATTTATACAAAATTGAAAGATGTTCATAGTAATCATCATGGACACTTAAGTTTCATCCAAAATTATGGAGATATTAATGGTCAAAGTTGGCACTTCAACATTAAACATGTGGCAGAGCTTTACTATAGAGCACTGTTGCACTCTGGTGTAATGTAATCTTGAAGTTTACAAGTGTCTTTTAAAAGAAGCTTATTATAAACATATAACAATGCTCACGCTCATAAAAAAGCATCATATTCAGCATTATCCAGATAACATTAGATACATCACATTATCCAGATAAAGCTCCAATTTTAAGTTTGGTTCTTACTTCATCCATCTATTTTTGGATAATGTCAGCTTTAACTGCTTTTGTCTTGGATAAAATGCACTTAATCTGTAATAAAGTACAAATTACTATATTTTATGGTATATAAGATGCACCTTTATTTTAGCACAAGTATCAATATTTAAGCCATGCTTTTAGCACTTGATATTTCGCTTTCTTTTGTTACTAGTTTTATCAAAAATACTTGAACTAAGTTTTAATCATAATTAAATTTGTGATTCCAGATTTAATTCATATTTTTTCTTTAGTAAATAATATAATTAGATCTTTGTCTTGTTTTTATGAAATGATTTGGATATTTTCTCATTCAAAATAAATATTTAAATATTAACATTTTTATATTATTTAATACTTGTCTTTGAATTATTTACTTGTAATTAAAATAGTCATTTATTATTAATAATAGATTTCAAAATATTGTTAAAATGGCAATCTTTTTAAACTATTCATATCATTGAATCTGTTTGTGTAGGTGGAGCTGCAGATAGAGTTATCAATCAGATTCTAACAGAGATGGATGGTATGAGTTCAAAAAAGAATGTGTTTATAATTGGAGCTACTAACAGGTATTATAGTCATTATGAATTTAATATATATATATATTTCATTGTTGGGTGAATTTAACAGTGTGAATATTTTTACAGACCAGATATTATTGATCCTGCTATTCTTAGACCTGGCAGATTGGATCAGTTAATATATATACCATTACCAGATGAAAAGTCAAGGCAGTCCATCTTAAAAGCAAATCTCAGAAAATCACCTGTATCTAAAGTGAGTTCTTAGCTTTAAAGTAAATTTTCAGTGATGTGAATTGTTGAAATTTCTATTTCATTATCAAAATGTTAGGTTTTTAAGTACAATATTATTGTTCTGTAAATTTAAAAATTGTTTAAGTTTTTATTTCTTCTTTTATTGAATAGGAGTATTATTTACATTCTTGATATATTATATGTAATAAGTTATCTATTAATTGGTCTACAGTAGTTTATAGGTTGACACAATTTGAATATTCAGAATTTTTGATGAATTAAATTCCTGATTTTGTCCATAAATATTTTCTTAAAATACTTGTACCAACTCAAAAACCATTTAACTTTTTTCTAATATTTTCAATTGTTTCTTTTTTATTTAAATATTTATTTTATTGTATGTATTTTGTTGATTTATTTATTTATTAGATTGTTTTTAGTTATTGATGATATGAGCTTTCAAATACATTCTAAAAAACTGTTAGGTGTTTGTTCTTTTTAAAATGTTTTTTTTTTCCTGAAGATGGTCATTGAAAATGATTGAAAACAATAGAATAAAGAAATATACTGCATTAATGGTTGTTGAGTGGGTATTTTGTATCATTGCAATTCTGAAAAGAGTAATTACTTGTGACTTTAAATTTTTATACATCAGACTTTACAAGAAAAAAATTGAGATTTTAAAAAGATTTAGAATAATGTAGTTTTTGTATTCCTCACCAAATTAAATTGATACTTTATTAAAATTTTCTGTATTTATATATTTTTTTATTAAAAATCTATAGTTTAAATTTCTGTTTTAATTTAATAACTTTTTTGTATTAAAACTTCTTCACTCTGTTATCTCTAACTTGAATTGTCTGTAACTCTTAAGTATTTCTCTTGGAGCTTTGACTTGAGAGAAGTTTTATTGTATTTATAAACAATTTTAATGCAGATTTATGGTATTTGGGTTATTATTTATATATATATTTCTTTTTTGAACTTTTTTTCCCTACTCACTTTCGGCAGTTGCCTTGTTGCCTCACCCATTGAGCCAACTTTGGGGTTTCTGGGTGGGAATTCTCTCCTGCCCATTCTAGGAAATTTTTTTTTTCCATTCCTGAATCCCAAGAAATGTTGGTCAGGAAAAGTGGGAAAATCAACTCCTAGAAACCAGTAATACCTACAATGAGAAATAAATGTTCTGCTCACAATGTATCTTTTAGACTTTTCACCTACTCATCACTATGTAAACTTACATTGTGTTACAATATTACACACCACCAGAAATCCATGCACAACACTAGAATCATATAACATAAGACCAACTAATTTTAGCTCTTGTAAATTGAGCACATTTGATCACAAAGAACAGAAAACTGTTTGTATTTGCACACAAAAATGTTTATTTTCACAATCTAGGATTTGACTACAAAATCATCTTCAGGTAAACTATCTAAAGAAATCTAAGGTAGCTTACCTTAATATAACATTGTAGTCAAATTCTGAGTTGTAAAAATAAATATTTCTCTGTGTAAATACAAACTGTTTGTTCTTCACGGTGTATTGTTGTCTTTTGGAACAAAAATTAATATAAAACCAGTTTTATTTTTGGGGAAACACAGTATATATCTTACATATCATATTGTTTAAATAAACTGTAAAGAAAGGTTACTGGTTGTTTGAAATTTTAAAAAACAAAAATATTTACACTTGTATGAAGTTTAATATTTTATTAATGGGCATCTTTTCCTCTTCTGGCAAAGAACGTGCTGAAATGGTTGCAGTTAATGAATGTGCATTGTGGAGGACATTTTCACAAAAGATTCTTTATCACAACAATGCTTTCTCTCACACAGCTTTCAAAACAACTGTGTTTGTGAAAAACATGATATTCTTCTACTCTGGATTTAGTTCCTTGTGAGTTCTTTTTGTTTTCCAAAATGAAATTGAAGCTCAAGGTGCAGCATTTTCAATATTGTCAAGGAGATCCAATTTGAATTGTAACAGATTCTTCACTGATTTCTAAGGATCATTTGAGGCTTGACAGAAGCCATGGGATTGCTTTATAAATGTAAGGGAAGACCACTTTGAAGGCAGTAGTGACCAGATTGAAATTAGCTAAGTATTAAAATCTTCATAGACCAAATCTGGTTACTTTTTTGATTGTACCTCATAAAAATGAAACTTTACAGTATCCTAGATTTTTTGCCTAATTGTTAAAAATGACAAGCTTCGTTTATTTCTCCCCTAATTGTAAAATGCTATACTTAGTCAACTTTTCAATATGATTTATATCTAATCTTAAATGATTAAAGACTTATCATTCTTTGGGTATATTGGTTCATGAAAGACTAAGTATGTAAGTTAAAATTTTTTTTTACATTTGTTAAAGACACTGAAAAAAAAAAGTTTTTATGCACTTAATTTTTAAGGGAGAAGTATGAATGATGAACTAACTTCACAAATTAATTAACACACACAAATGAATATTAACCCTGTACTACCATGGGGTCAATGGTGACCCCCCCACTCCATATTTCCAAGTCTTACAAAATTTTTGTAAAATATATATTTTCCCTCCCCCTAACTTTCATATTTTTTTCTCAATTGAGCCTGTCCAGGAAGGATTTTCTTCCAGAGGCTTTATTTTGCAAGTTACATTAAAATTCATATGTTACCATGATGTCAACTGTGACTCCAAAGTTAATTTTTTTTTCATTTTGATAAGATTGAATGTTTCTTTCTTGAATTACATGTGGTGACTTTGTGTGGACTTGTTAAATATTTGTTAATAATTTCAGGAATGATTGTTCCTTATTCCTGAATTTTCCAATTGCTCTCAGATGAATCGTCATTTGACAAACTGCTGGAATTATACTGCTGCTCCACTTTTGTTATAGCAATCTTACTATCATTGTCATCTGTATTATCTTCATAATTATCGTACAAGACGTCTTATTCATCACTTTCATATCCATCACCCACTTCTTCAAACAACAGATTGTGAATTAGACTTTCCATTAGATTAAGAGTTATCCAATTTGGTGCCAAATGAATATGACCTAAATAAACATCTCTGATAGGATAAATGATTGCATCTTTTACTGTGACGAATAGGAAACCACATCTTTTTCAACGTTTTCAATATCACTATTCTAAATACTTTATATTATGGATATACATGAACCCAATTTGGAATGAAAAAAGAGATTTAGGGGTTGGTTATTTCTCTTGAAAATAGGAAAATCTCTGGTGAGGAAGTAAGACAAAATTACCAAAATGGCTGCATTACCAGAGTAGATGAAAACATGGCTGATGCTTGCTTTGACTTAGGTCAGAAGACAGGAAGCATTCAAGTCATTTTTCTAAATGTATGCACTTTTCATGCCCCAAATGTTGATTTGTATTGAATGTGCTCAAAAATACAATAATGAAACTGTCAATAAGTAAGTCTCTTCTTGACAGGAAAATTCCAGTGAATTGAAGTGGTACCATCAAGTAGTCATTATGATGAGAGAGAATTATTATTATATATATAGCTATTTTTCTGTTTGTGTATACTAAAAAAAATAAATATGTAACATAACATTTTGTACTTTCAGTGGAAGTTGAAATTAAACCATAAAATTAAATCACATAAATATATTCTTAGAAAGTATTGGGGTCAGCCTTGACTCTATGGTATTCAGTGTAACAATAAAAAGTTAGCAGTATAAGAGTTAGTTACTATTAATTTTAGTTTGATAGAACCAAATAAAAATTATATTTCTACCTGGTTCTTTATACACATATACACTATATATATATATACAGTAGAGCGTCGTTTATCCGAAGGTCTGTTATCCGAAGGAATTCCAGTCAACAAATTTAAATTTTCGCCAGTGCTGTGGCGCTGTAATCTTTGGCTGTCTTGGGCTACTCAAATATTTTACGTTTTTGATACTAAATTAACTCCTGAAGTATAATTTTTTTATTGTTTTTATATCTTTTAATATATTTATTTTGTTTGTACAAAATAAAAAAATAATTTTTAACAATACAATAGTCTTCGTTAGGCTTAACATCGATGAAAATTCAACGCGAAGCGACACGCAACGGAGAAAAATTTCAACACAGGATAAATTAATATATTTTTTCGTACATAATTATTTATCCGAAAAATAAGTTATCCGAACAACCCCAGTCCCCAATTGATTCGGATAAACGACGCTCTACTGTATATATATATTTGTTTACTGTTTGAAGTATTCTTAGTAAGAGCTGGGAACTTGAATAATTAATATTTCTTTTATTACAGACTGTTGACTTAGGATATATCAGTAAGGTAACTCAAGGGTTCAGTGGTGCTGATTTAACTGAAGTCTGTCAACGTGCTTGCAAATTAGCAATCAGAGAATCTATTGAAGCAGAAATTCGAAGGGAAAAGGAACGTGCCCAAAGAGTAGATGGTTTAGCAATGGTGATTATTGTTATAGAATATTTTTAAATCTTAAGCCAATAAAAAAATTAAATGTTTAAATTATTTTATGTAGGATGTCGAAGAAAGTGATCCAGTTCCAGAGATTCGCAAAGATCATTTTGAAGAAGCCATGAAATATGCACGTCGTTCTGTCAGTGATAATGATATTCGCAAGTATGAAATGTTTGCACAGACATTACAGCAGAGCAGAGGGTTTGGTACAAGTTTCAGGTACGAATAGTAACTTACATTTACAGTTAGAGATTAAGTAATTAATGATTCACCAGAAAACTGTCTTAACGTAGATTTCCAAGTGGTCAACCTGCAGGAAGTGGCGGTAGTTCAGGAAATGGACCCAGCCACGGAAGTAATTTCCAAGATGCCGACGACGATTTATACGAATAATACAATGCATTTAGTGTAGAAAAGAACTGTTGACTTGCCTGTTCAAATTTCTGGAGTTTCAAATGTTTGGGGACGAAAATGTAACAAAATTTTTCAGAAACATTAATATTGACAGTGTTGCACTGTGATTTATTAGCTGTTTATCGACGATAGAAGAGAGAGGTCATATTTTCCTTTCACACAACAAATTGTTTCATCAGGCACAGATTTAAAATAAAATTCCAATTTTTCATAAAATGGTTTATCATGATTCAGGGGCAGAAATATATATAAATTCGTTTATTGCATTATGTTACTGTGATGTATGGAAACTCAGGATGGAATTGTTGTCAAAGGAAATAGTAATAGATAGTGTGGTTTATTCTCATGTTAATTTTCTTCACAAGGAACAAGAAGGCTTCTATCGACAACTTACTGTTCATGCATAATATATATATATATAATGTTCTTTGTTGGTTTTTAAGAAAAGTTTGAAACAACGTGCAAAATACAGGATGTTTTTGTTTCTTGAGTTTCATTCATTCATTTTATTTTTATAACTGAAACAATAAGCTGCAAAGTTACAATGAGAAAAGGTGATAACTCCTGAAAGACCTGACCATATTGGTTCCTTAAAAGAAATTAATTACAAAAAAAAATTTGCAACCTTTTGTTTCTGATATTTCCAATTTTCATTTAATATGATATATTTATATTGCTATTGTATAAGAAGTACTGTATCTACTAAAAAGTTTAAGGAAAGTCCCATGTAGTTTTATTATTAAATTATCGGTGTTTAACTTTTTTAAAACAAAAAATTTTAATACCAAACTTTACTTCCATATATAAATACAAATAAACTAAACTTTTCAATATTTAGTCTCCATGTTTTATAATTGACCAGATAAGTTTGGAAGGTGGAAGGAAATTTATTCTCTAGTCCCCCATTATAATGCAAGGTTGTCAGCATGGAGGCACAATTCTAATTTTTTTTAAGTGTAAAAGAAAGTCACAACTGATGATGTGAAAATTAAATAATTAGCTATAACTTCTGCTTAATCAAGCGGCATTTATGATTTTATAAATGAAGATAGCTAATCCAGAAAATAACTTTCATTATATACATTAAAGTTGTGACTTTCTATATTTAATAGACTGACTTAAATTGTAAGATGCAAACTGTTTTATTTATATATTTAATGGCACTTTTTGTATTTTATTTCTTCTTAAAATTTTTCAGTTAGACATTCCAGGAAATAATGTATTAAAATAAAAAAATTAAGCATGCAAACTATGCAACTGTCAAACCATTGATATTAATTCAAAATTCCGTTTAAATATTATTTAACGAATCATAAAATTGATTTTAATAACATTCTTCATAAACGATTTGTTTTTCCAAGAAATTTACAATATTTTATTCAAGAATTTTGCACTTTAAAGCAAAGTAACATACCTGATTTTTTTTAAATGCGAGAATATTTGATCATTTATAAAGTTGTACATACTTGGAGAATATTCTTTTGGACTCTGTTTTCTTTAATCAGAAAGTCATGCCTATTTTTGTTCGTTTAGAT